CCCCTCCCCCCCCCCCCCCCCACACCCCCTCCCTCCTCCTCTCTCCACTTCCTACACTAGAGAACTATTCACTAAGAACTACTAGCATGGACTGAAAAATTTAGAATGTGTTTACTTACCTCTTTGGCGTTTGTTTTCAAATTGGACACTGTTGGTAGTTTCTGGTGAAATGCAGGGTTATTCGTCCTTCTAACTTTCACAATGTTGTTTGAGTTTGGTTCTGTTGGATTGTTTGGCTGCATACTATTTCTGTTAGAACTACGCGGATTAAGATTTGGGTTTTTAGGTGAGAAAGAATTCCTAGGAACATTCACATTGCTGTTGCTTGTAGTTTGTGCATTAGATTTTGTATTTACAATCTTTTGCGGGACAGATCGGTTAGGTTGTAGCACAATTGTCTTTGGGGTTTGAATAGTTTTTCTGATTGGTTTATTGGGAATTAAAGGTTTTTTCGGAAGTGTCTTTCTGGTCATTTTATTCGCAAGTGATGTAACTACCTTGACTGATGGTACGACATTCTTTCTTCTGCTATTGGTTGATGTGTTAGTTTTCTCATTGGGTATGGATGCTTGCCTATTGTGTGTTGTTTTGCCGGTTGTTTTCACTTTTATCAACTTTCCCGATGGAGTTCGGATGAAGAAGCTCTTGACTGGGTTAGTAACGGTATTTACCGTGATCTTCCGAGGTTCTCTTGTTTTTTGGGTCTTTTTAAGAATCTTTACTGAGTTGTTTACTTTTCTGGGGATGTATCTGTTCGTTTTTGTAGACACTATTTTGGTAGAGATTTTTGAGGGTTTCACTCTAGGGTGAGGCTTTTTCACGACATTCTTTACTGGGTCCAATTTCGGTATGATGTCTAGATTATTCATTTTCCTGGAGATGATTTTGTTTTGTTTCGGAGGTATTTTCCGGTTGATTGTTGGTGTTGGCATAGACTTGGGTTGAATCGGTACTCTGTTGCTATTATTGGTTGGCTTGGCCTTTTCCGCTGGCGTTTTCGCCTTCACGTAGATATTTTCACCAACTTTAATAATCTTTACGTTAGGATTACGTAATAGATGAATATTATGGACTGTTATTTTGATCCAGTTGTTGGTGAAATAGTTAATAGTACGGTACTGGTTGTTAGTTGTATATTGAGATATTTGAGTAGGAAATGGTAAATTGTGCTTTTGTTGATGCTGATTGTATTTGAAGGTCTTATTTGAAGTAATTGATTTTACGGCACCATAAATAGGCTTATACGAATCATTTCGAGTATTGGTAGTCACTTTTTTGGATAATATTTGTTCTTTTCTGTTTTTTGTTAGCTTATTGTTTACAAACATGTTTGACACTCTATGTGAAAGATTTCTTTGTGGAACGTTTCTCTGTGACACATTTGAGCTGGTCCTCGAATTCTGTATCATCGTTCGTGTTAGCCTGGGCGCTTGATTAGATTGTGACGTTCTTTGAGCTATTCTGTTGTTCCGAATATGCAATGTGTTTGTTCGAGCTCTTGTTCTAGAATTGAGGCCATTGAATCCTCTGTTTAAATATCCACCACCATTGGGAAATCTGTACACTTCATTACCTGGTGGAACTTTACTCGATTTCACTACAGTTTTGCGAATAATTTTCGTTGACGCTGGTTTGGAATTTGACTGAAAAATATTCAAAAGATTTTCATTCACATTTCCAGACATATGGCCATTACTGTTGGAATTATCCATTAACTTTAATGAAATGGTACCTAATTTGCTCTGAGACTCCAAGTTTGATACATCAAGATGTGTAAATCCATCGCTTCCATGTTTCACAGTCAGTCCAATTCCTTCATCCCCAATATCTATCGAATTACATCTAAATCCAACAATCCAGACACTGTAAATAAGCAAACCGCCCGTTATAAGATCTTTTCTCGCCATTACTTCAGACAATTCTAGATGAGCTAAAACTTCATTAAGATAACATAAATGTCCTTGTCCAAGTTTAACTCTCTAGAAATGTTGAGATTATAAACGATAGAAGAGTGACGGGGGAGATGAAATAAATGACTAAGTGTGGGCTATATTTTATGTATTAGATATAGTGTGATGAGTTAATGCCCATCAATCAATGTAAATATTGATGTATTGTAAAGAATGTTTATAGTCTAATTTCAACTCCTTACAGCTATTCTTACTTTTATAGGCACAGTTATATTTCACTATTTCTTTTTTAACTAAATATTAAAAATGCGCATCCAGAAGATTGATAACAAGGTAGACTCGTCAACTTTGTTGTTACATATAAAATTATTCCCATTATAATAAAATGTAATTCATATAAAAATTCAAAAAAAAGCTCAGAACTTTTTGTACATCCTAATATGTTAATATTTGCACCTTGTGATATTAGCCTTTTTTTTTGTAATAATAGACCTAAAATGAGAACACCGGAAGTAGGTCTAACAGAATGTTACAAGAAGACCTCTGTGCAAATAACTATGTACTTCAATAATGTAACAATTGCCAAATCATCATTGTACTTCGGGTAGTTTCCAGGTTTCCCTGGCTAAGTAAAGCAGCAATAATTACTGTAAATTAGGGGTGCAGATCGCTTTTTCAATGCTGGGGAAGGGGGGGGGGGGGCGATTGGGGGCCAGTGGCGTATTTATTTAAAAGGTGCCTTGCGCCCCCCTAGTTACGGGCATGTCGTTTGCCCGTGTCCGGTGTATTCTATAGGGCGACCGAGACCTTTCAACCAAACAAATTTGATTTCAAGGCAAGTCAACTCAGTGGCGGTCTGGCGCAAAATTTCGGCACTTTGATGTTCTCGGATGCCAAATTGTGTCTATTTTACGTCCATTGCAGACGTGTCCCTGTGCCCCCCAGTCATCTGCGCCCTTGCTGTAAATAACATTTTTTTTACTTGAGAAGAGGGAGGGCTAACAAAAACCCAAATGTCCGTGGACTTGGTAATTTATTTCTGAACTCAATCCCAACAAATAGAATATATTTCATCAGGGTCTGTCATATTTTGAACGCCATTTACGTAGGATAATATTATGCTACGCCAGTCTGTCAACACTAATAAGTACAGAAAGGTCACAATGATAAATGGTGTTTAATGTAGGATTAACCTTCGATGACATAGTGTCATAATCGTGCTGTTGGGAGTGGTGTATATGATCTTTAGATTCATTCCAATGACCGTAAAAACGGATGTGACCTCTGTTAAATTCGAATTCCCTCATCTTTTCCAAGCAATGATGGATTATAATGATGACTTTATATTTTGTCAGCCAGGCGCGGGACATGCGTCGTAGCCTATATACGGATTGCCCCCCCTCCCTTTCGAAAAAATTCTGCCGGTCGACCAATACCATCACTGCAACTAAACACCATACACCATTGCCTCTCTGGATATATTACTTGTCCCTTCGAATGGAGAAAATTAACGTTTCAAGGCCAAGCGTAGTTTGAGGTCGATTTTATTGGTTGTTTCCTGTTTTTATTGGTCGTTTCATGTCGATTCATGTTTCAGTTAGTACGGAGCTTCAAATTTATTTGGGGTCGAAACCATTCAGGTTCAAGATTCAAGTCGGATCTATAGTGGTAGGAATAAATCCAGTAAAGGGAACAAAATCCTCAAAACTCAAAAGAAACGGAGCCAAATACAACCCAAAGTGCTGTTCTTGTCAAACAAACTTAACTCATAAACATTGTTTTTGAATTGTAATAATTATTTAAAACTTTGTTACAATGATGAGGATGACCATTTTCATTTTGTGTTTTTATTAGTAAAATGGATGTTTTCTGTGTCCATTATAATGTGGATTTTCAAAAGTAAAGAGAGAGATAGTTATTTTATTGCTCATATATATATGTGTAATGCTAATATTAATTGGAAAAAAAAGTTGTGTGAAATATCATTGAATGTACAGCTAAAACAGTGGCAACCTTTCTGCCAGTTAAAAAATGATAAATTTACATTAAATTTTTTACAGTGTAATAACATATATTACATATCATGTTATAGAAATGATGGTAAACACCCTTGTAGCTGTAAATATATATCGACTGGCTGATATTTGTAATATTGTACTTTTAGGTTATATGATAATGACTGAATCTAGATATATGTGTATTATGTATGTATATCTGTATAAATCCATGTAGTTATTTGAAATTGGGATCGGATACACCAAAATATGTAAAGAAAACAATATAAGTAACAATGTAAATTAGTTGACTTCTCTATGACAAATGACAAACTATAAATCATTTCTGAACCAAATTATATCACATGTCGAAAATGATAACCAAATAAAGTAATAATAATGATAAAATATTGATAACCTATCCCATAACCTATATACATTCTAATAGGTCCCTACTGAATCTTCTTTTGAGTCATTCTCTGACTTTTGTTATGAATTAATCCATAAGTTGTTGTAAGCAAGCACTGAAATGATCACGAACTATAGACTTGTCTCCGATAATTGTTAAATGCCCTTGAAAAAATGATATCTCATTCAAGAACTTTTGTAGACTTTAGATTGCCTGAATCTCTAACCTAGTTATGAGAATTTTGCCCGAAAACCTTGCTTTCGGGGCTGCCCCCTTTGACTTCGCCACTGTGTCTCTCTAAATGAAAAATATAAGTAACATTAGTGAGTCATAAGCTTTGTAATTGCCACCTTTTTATCGTGAAAAAGAAATTTAACTGTACGGCTTAAAAACGGAAACGTGACGTTGAGTTTTTTATTTGTCGAACATGAAAGTTTGAATTACTATCATAAAAGTATTAAAAGACAGTAATATTATTTTTTTTCAATTTTCTAATCAGTCGTTTTAATATGTTTACCTGCAGGGGACTATATTGATTTCCTTTAAAATGTTTAGTATATACGTTGTTGTGTTATTTAATGCATTTCAATATATCAAAACCGGCATTATGAGCACTAACATGTGACAAATATACTCCTTAATTGTCATGTTATAAGATTTAATACTAGCCTATAGACAAAACAATAAATATAATTACAAGACATTAAAAGTAGGCCACTTATTCGGTGCATATTCTTGACGTGTGATGGATGGATCATTGATTTTTGTGTTTCAAATATAATTTTATTCTTTAATCATCTTTGTTTTAAAAATTGTTTATTTTGTCTAAAGGTTGAACAAATAGTGCAATCAAAAGTATTGGAACAAGAAAAGCCATAACATATTAACCGTGGTAAGTGAATCGGCCATTGTTATCTCCCTTTAATCATCTATATCGATGTGGTCTGAATATGAAATATAGTTTTCTCCCTTCAATTCCTTTGAAGGTTTTTTTAAAGAAAATTGTCATTAGTTAATATTCACAAGACCTTTCGACCACTAAGTCCAAATAATCAAACTTGTTTAAAGGAGTTTTTACATTGATATTGAGTGTACATCTTATATAAGCGATATTGAATTTAGCCTCGACAGTTCGCCCCCATTGAGTTAGTATGTCTATTTTACCCCCAGTCTCGGGAGGGTGGCACCGCCAATGTAGAGAGACTCTCTCCATATTCGTGGTATTTTTTACAACAAAAGATAGTGTAACAAGGCAACGAGTACATCATATTTGAGGGCCAATAAAGAATTCTTTTTAAAAAAAAAGGTCGATTGAAAAAAATAGAGAGAGTGATAATTTTTCCCGTCAGTCGACTGTGAGTTTAGGGTCGGTGTTGAAGTTTATATAAACTATCAATTAGAGGTAAGGTCGTTTATTTGACTAACATTTAATCAACATGTCATTTCTCACTATGTACCTCGTGTGACTATGAATTTCTATTGTTTTAAAGAGAGTATGAAAGAGTGACTTTATTCGTACTAACTG